TGCTCAAACTTGTGAACTCTTATGTATAGCTAATGGTATGATTAATTAAAGATAGTTATTCATTTAATCATAATTTTTTCCCCAAAAAAATACTCCGTTTCTTTGAATATAAAAAAATTTTCAGAAAATATTTTTTTATTTTTTAATATTTGGTTGTCCTAAAATTCTGAAATTGCACTAACTTGGTTCAATCAAGCCATTCACTATTGAAACAAGTTGTAAAGCTTACTTATACTTACATCAGTCCCACTTTATATGTCACTTTTTAAGAGCCTCGGTTTTAATTTTTTTTTATTACATTGGCATAAATGAAAATTTAAATCTACCCTCTGTTTTGAATTAGTGGGTTCTATGGTAATGTTATTTTTTACTTTTATCCTTTTTAATGCTATTAGGGTAAATTGGAAAAGCTTGGGAATTATAATGCATTGATTTTTTAAAATAGTAAAACCTTTTGGGACAATTAAAAATAAAAAGATACAACTATTAATATGGGACGTAGCGAACCATTATATTGAAGCACATAGTTGATTGAAAATTATAAGTGCGTTTCAAATGAGTCATGATATTCAGGCCTGACTAGTTAGGTTTATGTATCAAAGTGAAACAATTAAAGTCATTGACAGTCTGAAATTGAGCCTAAAACGGAGTCCCATTTTAGATCACTAATAACCATAATTATTTTACTTTGACAAATAAACTTAAGTAGTAGGCCCAAATATCATTTTTCATTATTTATATTTATTTTTTTCTAATTCCAATTACAAAAGAACTTCTTCCTAATTGTTACAAGGGGATATTTGTTCCACATCAGATCTTGATGTGAGAGTGATTGGGTATAAATGGGTAGGTATGTAGCATTACCCAACAACTTGAACTTTTAAATAAATAGGCAAACGTTTACCCGTTACCGTTGGTATCAAAATCAAACCTAATCATTGATCCGATGTCACGCCAAGCAACTCGTTACGAGTTCGGGTGAAAAAAAATATTATGAGAGAATATTTGTTTCACATCAAATCCGAATAAGAGAGTGATTGAATATAAATAAGTGAGTATGTAACACTACTTCACAATTTAAACTTTTAAATAAATAGGGAATCACCCACCTATTAGACTAATCCTAAATCCTAATCATTCAGGCTGCAGCTTGACATTATAGTTGCTATCGGGTCAAGGTTGCAATAAAAAAAAGAATGATCTCATACATACTGACAAAGGACACAAAGGTAGTAATTATTGATCCGTACAAACACTAACACCATATTGTTGTATAGATTAGATTAGGGCTTCCATTGTGAAATCTTAGGTTGGTATCAGCCGACCAAACACACCACCACAATTTGCGGAAGATCGAAACAAAAATGAATTTTGTGATGCGACAGCTTACACAAAGAGGCCTGATCAACAACTAGCCCCTTTCTTGGCTTTCTGTAACATTTTTTTCTAATAAATAAATAAATTGTTGGTAAATTAAAAGGAGAGTGAACTCGAACTCAGGTACACTCGTTACTTGTTTTGAATCTCATGTTTGCACAGGCTCTTTTCATTAGAAGCATGTTCTTCTTTGAGCTATCTGTTGTGATTTTGTTTGGCGCCTTTATGCTAAGTTGAAGTTGTATACAAAATGTCTTGGGGAGTTGTGAATTTTGTACTATGTTATAAAATGAAAATATGAAATTATTTCATTATGTAGTTGTTGAATGCCACATGAACTTATATATATATATACATACACACACATACATACAAATGTAATGGTGCATTTGTTGAATGCTATATGTCTAGGGAATGAACACTGTCATGGGATGAATGTACTCGGTCATATGAGTGCCATTTGTGTAACAGTGTATACAAAATTAGGGTCAACGACTCAACGGTGATTACATTTTGACAAGGATAGGATGAGTTAAACTAATATAAAATAAGACATTTTGTGAGTAGTTGTTTAATGATAAGTATAAACATGAAAATAAATGAAAACCTAAACTGGCATCTTATGTGATAAGAGAAATCAACCAAGTTAAAAAGAAAATTTTATAAAAATTATTATTAGGACTTCCATATTATATATAGCAACGTGTGCGTCTACGAAAACTAAAGTCGGCACATCGTTCAGAGAATTCAATAAATGAGAGTGTGAGCTCACCGTAAACACTTATATTATAATCTTCTTGTATGCACAAAGTATGCTACCAAATAAAAGATTATACATAAAACCCAAAGAGTTGACTCAAATGTGTAAAAACTTGGCCTTAGTGCCTCAGGAAGTATCAGATCTAGGATTCGAACTCTCCTAGACGCAAACAATTCCTAAGGGGTATATCAACTAGGAAAAAAAGAAAGAAAAAGATCATATGTAGACTAGATCCTAGACCAAAAGGAAATTACGATATCAATCTTATATGTAGCAATATATGTATCTTCGAAAACTAGAGTTCACACATCATTCAGTGAATCTAATGAATGAGAGCACGAGCTCACTATGAACGCCTTATTATCTTACTATTTCTCGTATGTACAAAATATGCTATCAAGAAAAAGATCATGCATAAACCCCAGTGGGTTGACTCAAGTGGGTAAGAACTTGGCTTAGTACCTTCGGAAGTATTGAGTCTAAGGTTCGAATACTCTCAGATGCAAACAATTCCTAAAGGGTATATAGGATATCAATCTTGTATGTAGCAATCTATGTGTATACAAAAACTTGAGTTTGTACATCATTCAGTGAATTCAATGAATGAGAACACGAGCTCACTGTGAGTACGTTATTCCGTATTATCTTACTCTTTCTCGTATACACAAAATATGCTACCAAGAAAAAAATTATTGTATACACAAAGTATGCTACCAAGAAAAAGATCATACATTGACTAGACCCTAGAGCCAACCCTATTGGAAAGCCAGTCATTGTGTCCTCTTAGGTTGTGCAGCAAGATTTCTTTCCACAGAAAATAAGCATGTTTTAGGGTACCTCCCTTGGGGGAACATGGTGGCAACTGAAGTGACTAGGGCCTCTTGGGCTTGAAATTAGCAACAATATATGGATGATGGACTACACCACTCCGGGTTTTCTTGCTTGGGCCCACCCCACTTTTTGTAAAATTGAAATCTAGAACAGTCTGGGATGAATGCAATGCAATAATAATTGGGTTCAATGATTTGCATGTCACTGTCATTTCATTTCAAATACACAAAAATATATTTTTTTCCAAGGCAGAGTTGATTAATGCTTTGGAAAAGAGTGAGTCGTTAATCTCTATTCATAATTCAAGCCATTTTTGCCCCTTCTATTCCCCTCACGTGAAAAATGAAAAAGAAAAAAGAAAAGAAAAATTATTAAATCATAGTGGTTAAATTGCTATGGGCCTATAGTTGACTTTTAAATGTTGCTCATCTCTTGCCAGTGAACCACATCAGTCGGCCCAATTCAAGCCTTATTCTATTTTGTTATTTGGTTTGGATATTTTCAATCCAACCTTTATGCAACTTTGACTTGTGGGATGAAGAAGAAGGCTCTAATATACAGAGTAATGACCTACAATGGTTTATTAATCTTGAAACAAAGGTTGTAATCTAGTTCACTCTTGAACCAAAGGCTGTAGTCTAGTGGTACTTTTGTGCCTTCTAAAGCAAAAAGTCGAGGATTCAAGTTCTCATGGAGGCAAGTGAATGTAATAGCGAATATCTTCAGAGTTCACAAACACTTCACTATTAAAAACTTAATTCTAAAAATTGTGAACTTTTGACTTCAAAACTAAACACCATGTTAAAATTACTAAGAATTACTCAAAATTGAATAAGATTCGACCAAAAATCTCACCTCTGCTCGGTAAGAAATACTCTACTCACGCTCATTACTCTCCTGTAACCTAAATCCATCAATCTACTCCTATTCTCTCGCTTGAACTTCAATATTCAAACTATTGAATATTACTAGATTATTACTCTTATTTTCCGAGGGGCATATAAATTTCATAGGCCGAAGTAGGCTAGTAGCTCACCATTACTTGCATGAATCTGATAGAGCAATTCATCTGCATCTCATAGTTTCTGTATTCCTGTGTACTTGCATCTTGCAACAACCACCACCACCAAGCCTTTTACTTATTATTTAGTGTCGGCTATGGCCTGTTTAGTAACAAGAATTAATTCTTACTTTTTACTGTCAATTCCTAAAAAGCAAAAATAAAAGTGAAATTACATTTGCTTTTTAATTTTGAGAAAGTAATTTCTAATTTAAATTAATTCATGATACTGTATGCTAACTTAAACCTAAAAAAGACGTTACTCACTCATGCTCGTTTATATCATCACAACCTTACCCTCTCTCACCTTCAGATCATAGCCGCTTCAAGAAACTTCAACCAGGACTCCAGATCGTCGTCAACATTGACAAAACTCAACGGACAAAGTTCGTTCTCTCTTCTCAGATTCTCTCTCTCCTCATATATGAAGTTTTTGCCCTATAAATGTGCAATTTATCTCTTTCATCATTTTATGAATCCCATGTTTCCATTTTTATGTACTTAAGCAAGTTAATGAGAAGTCGATCAATAATAATATCAAAATTTTCCATTTCACCTACTCTGTTCACAAACATTAGGCAAAATTTGGTGCACAACCCTAATACAGTAACAGTCTCCCTACTCAGTAGAGTTTTTATACATGATCGAGTGTTTTCGTGGTCAAAGACATGTTAGTAAACAATCATCAGGCCAGTAGCATCAATTTCTAGTAAGCTAGTTTGGGAATAAATCCAATTTAAATGAACACATACCAAGTCCTGGCCATTTCAAGTGAATATTGTTACCTTCGTGTCTGCTAAATAACCTTCCATTTCCCGTCATTGGTCGCTGACGGTCCCCAAACAGTCAAGAAGCCCCAAGTGTCTAAACTTTCAAATCCAAGGTCCATATTCAATATAGATTCTGATCATCAACACAAAACATAATAGACAACCATAATGGAAGTAAAGTAGAGATTAAGCAAAGGTCATCTATGACGAAAAGAGAACTCCCACACAATACCAAATTGTATCCTTGCATTTGTCACATTTTAGTTAGAAGTTCGCCTAAAAAAAAAGGGACAAGAACATCCAAGATTTCTACAAATATTGAAACCCAGGATAAAGTTCCCAACTAGACTATTTCCTTGTCGAGATGGGAAAATTCAAGAATATAAAAATTTGCAGAATTAAAAGGATTCACCTTAAGTGTAATTATAAAATATCTATGTCTTCCATTTGAATCTCCAGATCATAACGACACGTGTGTGAAATTAATCTGTACTCCTGCAAAGAACTTCCATATCCATATTAACAGCAATTCGATAAATGTAGGGACTGATCACCAACAGTTAAACTGATATTGATGGCGTCTCTTGTCGAGAATTCTCATCTTTCAAAGATGCTACTCCAATGTCATTCAAAATACATTAGGTACTGCCTGCAAAATTTGAGTTGTAAGGAAACAATCCTCTTCAAGATTACAGGTCTCCCATCCACCAGTCTTAAAGAATTTGATCTTATCTTACCGGAAGGAACAGTTCCACTCAATTCATGAAATTCCCATCATCAGTCAGAGTTCCCCACCAATGCATGGTCATCCTCAACAGTATTACTCATGCTCTTGTCTGAAAAATCGGGAGCACAGGAATCTCCATTGCCAATGTCAAAAGATTCACTGGATTTACCATGAACAATCTCATCCTCATTCAGTAACTTCCCATCTTGTTCCTCAAAAGAACTAGGAGACGACGAACTATTCAAGTTAGAGAGAGGTTTTTCCACATCTTTCATCTTGCCACCATTTTGATGAGGGAAGCCAGGTTCACCAGATGCATTATTGCCACTGCTGAGGTTGCAAGCAGATGCCAATTCACCAATTTTTAAAGGAACTTTTGCATCTTTCTTTGTAAAATTGCAGCGGGGTCGCTTCCCAAGAAAACCAGGAGAAAACAGAGGCTTTAGTTTTGTACCTTTCCCTACTACATCTTCAATGGTACCAGATGATGACAAACCCTTTCCAGACACAACCTTTTCCTGCTTACCTTTGGAATTGACAAGGTTCGTTTTATCAAGGATGATTTCACGTGAGCTTAAACCAGCAACAGACGCATCATGAGATGCTTCACCCTTCTCACATACACCATTCTGAGGGGGCAGAGAGCCCTGAGTTGAAGAATTCATTGATACAAACTCATTGCCTCTACTGTTCTCAGCTCCAAATTCATCCTCCAAACCAGAATCAGGGGAAGGCGACTCCCGACTCCGAAAATAAGCTTCAGGTGTATGCGTCTCAGTTAAGGAAGAAACAACTCCAGAGACCACTCTATGAGCATGGCCAACAGAAGCAGTTTCTTCGGCTGCACCAGAATGTTGATTGCCATAAAATTCAGTTCCTTTTTTGACAGTTGGACTTGACCCACAATCTACCATATCTAGATCCTCTTTTAGATCGTATACGGAAGATGACTCTTCTTCACAGCTAGAAACATTTTCTTGTGAGCTGGCATCATATGGCAAGGAAGCAGAAATGCCAACCCTACAATTTGAGTCTCTTGTAGAGAAGCATTCAACTGAGTGTTCTGGGCAAGGTTCTAACTCTTGGGCCATTTTCACTATTTGATGGTCCTTCTCCCTTGAAGGTTCAATGGGATTTAGACAAGATGGCCGGGCACAAAACCTACAATGCAACAGGCAAACAGGATTGTTTGAGTATCCATTACCATCAGTTATTCAACAGAGATGCTATGAACGAGACAGCAGATGTACATGTCTGTCTGCGATGCATGTCAACTAAAATACACCCCCACCACATCCATTTTCAACAAATAAAAATGCATTACATCTGTAATTGAAGAGAGAAATAGAAAATGAAGAACACAAGGATGTACGTGGTTTAGCCATAGGGCTTCCATTCACGGCACACAAAGCCCAAAGGGCTACATATCTTTATTGTACTCTCTTGATTTTTGTATACAATGATCACCTTCTTTAGAGGTGAAATGAGAAAGACTTGTAGCTAGAAAATAGAAAATACTTGCTCTACAAGTATTCTTGCTTTACAAGTATTTAATAATAAAGAAATTACACAGAAAGTCAAATACAAATATGGCAACAAGTCTCATAGCAATATTCCGTCAATGAGTAATTTAAGTAAGGGTTCCTATAATAATATTCTCCAGCCATATTAGCAATCTGAAGTTGGAACAGACCACAGAGGCTTTAGCTCAAGTGATACCGCCATGGTGCAATAGCGGGTACCCAAAAACAGTAAAAAGAAAAAGAAAAAGAAAAAGAAAAAAAAGAAGGCTGGAACAAGTCCGTTGTGTGTTAATACAGAAACCAAAGAGGCCCTAAGGAACTCTGTTGTGTGCTAACTAGCTCACAAGTCCATTTCAATCAGACACAATCCTACGTACACCAGAACACTTCAACTCAAATTCAGATCACTCAAACAATGTGTTACGACAAATGCAGTGAACCAAGCAACAATTACGAAACACGACCAAAAGAAAAAAAAAAAAAAAAAAAAAAAAAAAACACCATGCAAAGATTTATACATGGTTCGGCAAAGCTTATGTCCACGGTGGAGATCCGGTGAAAGTCTTCAGTGTGTAAAATCGAAGATGACATGTTTCAGCCCCTCATTCTCTCTGTACGATTTTCAGTGTCTTTTAATCATCACACTCCAAATTCTAAGCGCCCTTATATATCGGCTACAAGAGAGTACTACTTGGGGTCCACGACCCATGAGAAAAAATGGGTCAAATTTTTTCCAACAGGTCATCGGGTCGCGTTCACTAAATTCGGGCCACAACATCACACAATGCAATCCATTTTTTGTTCTTTTTAATTTTGCTGAGCGACAAGGGAACTTGAGACAACCGTAAATAAAAAAATGCAATTTTTCGATATAGCTATCGTCCAAATAAATACCATAAATTTCCCAACAATTGAACTTCCTGAACCTTCCTTAAAGGCCATCTCCCATCACTAGTCCCACCGACGCGCGGAATGCTAGGAGGGAAAAATTGGAGATTGACCCGCTCTTCTTATGCCATATCAAATTACTGGCTCTAATTTCTATTGCGTATCACAAAGTGTTCAACTTGGATTGCTGTTAAATAGCTTATTAGCATTCAACTCTCTAACTACCTAACAATATGAACATCTATCATAATCCTCGGTGCTATACTTTTAATCAGTTTCAGTGAGATGATCTGGATAGAACTGCTTCAACCATCTAATACCCAATGTTAGGGTCCTCGATCATCTTTGAGGCATAAGGAGTGTGATAACTGACCGTCGAGGGATGACATTGACCTGTAACTAATAGCATTTGAAAGTGAGAAAGACAGCTACCTGCTATATAAGAGCATATAAGCTCCCTGAGAAAGCACCTCGTCCAATTCAACACTCGTAACCTGAGGGGAAAAAAAAAAAAAAAATGAATTAAGCTAGATGAAGTAGAGAAATTAATTACATGCATTAGGAAAATCTGTGCACACTCCTAACCTGAGAAAAGTCATTAGACATTTTAGTAACTAATGTACATTAATTACAATTTTTTTTTTTTTTTTGCACATGTAGAACACTGCTGAACAGAGGTTTGCAAATTGATTGATCACAATGATAAATAGAAGGGAAACTTAAATATGAGAGACATTTACAAAAATGGGTTCCCATATAGGATGATTTTTTCTTCTCTTCAAGAATTCTCACTATTACACTGTGAAATCAGATGCCATGGCAAATGAAGGATGCCAACATAGGATTTATTGAGGTTATAAGATTACCAACTCTTACAATACATGCATGCAAGAAAAGAACTAATTGCATATGTGTAGGGTAGGGGGTGGAATCTCTCTCACACACACACACACGGAGAGAGAGAGAGAGGACTATTCTACCTTACAGTCATCAATCCTGTACCAATTTCCACAAAAATCCTTGGCATAGCAAATGTAATGGCCGAAAAATGACGCATTAAGCATGTCCACATGTACAACTACTGCGTATAGCTTGTATATGTCGTTACCATCTCCTGCTTCACTCATGTATGGTCTAAGGTCCAAAGTCTCAGGGAATGTCACCCTCTTGTTGAGTTTCCCAAACCTCCCACTCTGCATATATGTAGACAGAATACTTTAAGAAATTACATGGGGAAAAAAAAGTTTTAAAACAGAATTAAGCATTTAATTTGAAGAAAGAGATTCTCCAAACATGTAACAATATTCATGATAAAATTTACACCAACTCAATATATAGTTCAAATTTCTGAGAACAAATTAATCACCATGTCTTTTAAGGTAATTCCATAAATAGATGAACATGTACCAATCAACATAGCACAGACCTGAAACCTTTTTAAAGCAATTGTAAGAATATTTGGAGCTCGTCGAATGGTAAGGCGCTTCCATGCCATGACATAATCATTGCATCTGCAGGAGGACAAGAATATCATAATACAGTAAAAGTGATATGTTGGCATGTAAAGCACATAATTAAACTAATATGATAACTACAAGCATAGTGATTGAAATTACTACAATAAGCAAATAATTTTCCCCATAGATAGATGATATATCATTAAACCTCAGTTCATGGTTGGGGAAAGAACAATAAGAAAGAGTCAATGTTGAATTGATCGTCCATTAGATCCTCCACCAGACAATTTATAGATGTATCAACAAAACTTTCATCTATGATGGCAAAAAAGAGTTTCATCTCATTCTATATACAGTAAAACATAAAAATCCCCAATTTTCCCAATTTTCTCTTGGTTGTTTGTCAATTCACTCTAAAACAGGTCGAAATGGCAGATACTAGATAGTAATCATGATATGTAACAGAATTCATGATATCAGTGTAGAAATGAACAGGAAAATAGGTTCATCCACAAAATTCACCAAATGCAATATTTGATTTTAATAAGGAATTTGTGATACAATGTTATTTCAACCTCTCAAAATAAACATGTAGACCACAGTCATCTTAGGGTTCATGAAGCAGAGCAGGCTAACATTATCATTTGACACACCAGGTAATATACTTATTCTACAGTAGTTAAAATATTTTAAACAAGTTTATGGAGAGACCCGAGTAGATCATTTTCATATTTTGATTTTAATATTGTGCAATTCATACATCTAGAAGGCACCTATTCATAATTCTACAGTATATATGTTACAACCAAAGGGCATCTAGCCCAATGGTATAACCTCCCCATCTTCAAAAAATATAGGGGAGGGGTTAGAGTCCGGGTGTGAGAAAAAAAGTGTGTGAGTGGGTGTGTTCCTTGCAAATGGGAAAAAAAAAAAAAAAAAAGTACATATGTTACATGAATTTCTAATGATAACAAACGAAATATAATTGCTATTTTCATATTGCATATTTAGTCTAACATTTTTTCAATGATAATAATGAAAACAGACACTGCTCCACACCTGAGAGAAAGGAACTATGTCTTAGTTAGGCTTCGATACATTTATTTACACAGAAATTTGAATGACTAATACATATCATGTACATCTACACCTTCTTATTTTAGTTCATAAAAAATTTGCAGGTCATTAACGACGTCAATTAGTTTTCTCTAGAGTAATGGGGTTAGGTACAGGAATGACTCTCCGTTAGTTGGACCAAGTTTCTCGGAATATTGCAGAAAAGTTTAGCTACCATCCTAAACATCAGTTAGAAGCCTCGTATAAACTGATTATGCAAAGACTAACCACAAACTCATCCCTGCATAAATGCAAAGTTAATACTCCCTCCGTCCCAAAATATGTGTCCATTTTGGGGAGTAGAAGTTTCTAAGGGGACATGCAATTAATGCATTGTCCCCTTGTAAAATTACTAAGTTATGCATTCAAGTTTGAATATAAATATATATATATATAGTCAAGTTGGATTTTTTTTTTAAACTTTAAGGGCATTCATGGAAAGATGTGAAATATATTGTTTGAACGTTTAAAGTGGGACAAGTATTTTGAGGCAGCCCAAAAAAGAAAAATGGATATTTAAATTGGGAAGGAGGGAGTAATATATACCAGAGGGCATGCAGCACAACAGTGCTAGCCAAAAACATAATGCGTGACCATTATTTGGACAGGGAAGAAAGAAAGCTCTTACCCATCACATTTATACATATTATCTCCGTGAAGCCTCTCTCTGACAGTGAATTGGTCTAAGCATTCCTCCAAAGATGCAGCATCCCCTTGAATTTCAACAGTTAAATCCATCATATTTTCATACTGATTTGAAATATTATTGCATTCCGTACAAATCACCTGGAAAATAACGGTAATACATTCAGGACAGACTTGAATATAAAAGTTACAGCAAGCTGTGGAAATGGAAATATTGTGTATATCAAGACTATCAAGTAAGTTTTGCTATTTAGAAAACTAAGAAGAAGGCAAATGAAAATTGTCTCCAAGGAGGCATATGAAAGAAGTTCCCAACTACATGAATTTCAAATTGCTTTGCCAATTATGTCTCAAGAATGGAAAATTATACTCTGATGTCAGAAGCCATAAGAAGAAAACACTCGTCATGTTTACAATGCAGCACCTGCATATCCTAAAGCACATCTATCCTCATCGTCATCTATTCAAGTACATCAATTACACACATGGAAAACTACTAAGATTCGACCCAATTACTTTAATAAGCTTGGACGTCGTACAAATTTTCTCATCCGGACTTCTTTCCCCTGTAACTACAGTTTTTTAACCACATAATAAAATAAAAAATATTTTCCAAATATATATATATATATATATATATATGTATATATAATTTTCATTCTGAATACAAGTTAGATGACCTTAGCCAACCAACCCCCGCCCCCCAAAAAAAAAAGAAAAGAAAGAAAGATACGTTGCCCTCTCTATGAGCAAGGAATGGAACAAAGAAAAGTTAACAGAAATTCAAGCCCAGCTAGACCACTCCTTGTAAGCTCACTAAATCATGATCCACTCCAGAAATACAAGAGAACCAGGTGTTGTTACCTACAATATCAAGACACTTGAAACTCAGTAAACTGTGGCAACAGTTTCTCTTCTACGAGTAATAATTCAGGGCAGTAAAGAGCACACTATCAAACTTGTAAGGAAGAGATGCAGACTCCAAGAGGAAGCCAAATACCCTTAAAAAGAATATTGATCCAATATATTCTTTAATGTCAAAAAAGACAATCTTTTGGCTCTTATCTTTTTCTTTTGTTTCTGACTGAACTAATAATAAGCAAGTAAAAAATCAAATATAGGAATTAATGAAAATGTGAAAGTTGCCTATGATGATTGTTATGGATGTTAGAAAGTATTCTTTTCCCCTGGTAATTCTTGAACTCCAAAAGGACTAGTTAGAAGCAGATATTAGTCTCTCAATAAGGGATACTTTCATATAACTGACATACAATCACCAGTATCTTACGATACAAAATATAAAGCAAACGACACAATATGTTTTGTGAATAAGAAGTAAGTATTACATATTAAACATATGATATATTATGCCATGTGAAGAAAATACAAAACAGACTATATGCACACACTTAGCCAATTGTAAATGTCTTTTAAGAAAACCACACAATGTAAGAAAAACATATTATTCCACTCCTTTAAGGGAATGTTACGATTTCAAATACATTTACAAACAGATTAAAAGAAAACATTTAACCTGTTTCACTCACTTCTGCCATTTAAATAAATTAATAAAAATTATAAAAAAATGCTAAGAATTTGAGACTATTTGTTATGCCATCTACAGCCCAAGTGGTCTTGTCTACTGATAATTAGAGACCTTCATAGAGTGTGCTATTGGAGGCAAAGAGATATCATCTTGTTAATCAAAGTAACATATAAGACTACCCAACATAAGGGATGGGGCGTAAGATGAAGTATTTATTAAGTAAACAGTCAAAAAATGTGACATTCGTGAAATGGAAAGGCACGCATTATTCAATTCAAAGTTGAGATCGAGGAAAACATAAAACTCACAGAAGAAGAATAGTCAAAATAAATCCCTTGGATATATGGATCAATCACTTAAGGGCTTTACAAAGTAACACCCGATCGATGTACATACACTAAACTTTCTCAAAAGAAACAAGTGCATCATATGCATCTCAACAGAAAGAGGTGTTCTACACTTCAAACTTTCTCAAAAGATTCATCAAAAAATAAAGCTACAAAGGAGATAACACCCATACATAAACAAATATCAAGGACATGACAACTAGTAGAGGGGATCAATTATAGAAGAACCAAACTGAATGAGGAACGGATTCATAAATCGACATCTATAGAGTTTGAGGTAGAAAATGACTAACTAAGGTGATTCAATGGGTTTGGAATCTGATGCCTAGCTTTGTATTACCTCCCTTGTGATGAATTTGATTAGCCTAGCCTAGCCTGGGGTCCCATAATTTTCACCCCTATAGTGTTTTTCACATAAATCTTGGTGTTATATGTGTGAATGTGCTTATTTGGGTTCGGGTTAATCTCAGATTACCTAACACATCTAACCAAGATCAAACCGAATTGATGTCAAGTTAAAGCTTATCAAACCAAACCAACCCAAACAAAAAAAATACTTGCCCAGCATCTAAAGACCAGATTGGAGCATATGTTAGGTTCAAGTTGGCCGCTCAAGCTGTGCATCCACATGAAATTTCTCTTTAAATAAGGTTCATACTTTCACAATATTGGTGTCAATTAGGAAGCACCGACACGCCTAAAAGGGCAAAGAATCCTTGTCGGACACGTGTTGGACATTGACAAGTGCCGGACACACCCCAACACCAAAAAATGTGTCTGTGTTTTTCTTTTTTGAATATTCGGACACGGCATGGACAAGCGTCCGACACGTTATGGATATGTGTCCGACACGCGTGTCCCATTCTTGGGGTATTTTTTTTTTTTTTGGTGGGGGGGGGAGGAGATAATTAAGGCATTCTTGGGGATTTTAAAGAAAGTTTTAAAAAGAAAGCTAAGTTGAAATGTAAATATGAGGAGTTGTTTAATAACTTTCAGTGATATGATGTTCATTACATAATTACTTAAAAAAGGTTGTTTTATAAAACATTTTTTTATTAGAACAATCAGATATTCATGCTTATAGTTTAGTTCATAGGTTCAAACTCTTGCACAATCATCTTTGACTCTCTCTTGTTCTCCCATTGACCAAGCTTCTCTGCCCGTGGATGGTCTCTCTCTCTCTTCTTCTTCTTCTTCTTCGTCATCATCACAACCATTTATACTTATTTTTTTTTTTTTACGTTCACAGTTTTTTTTTTTTTTTTTGTCTCCTTTTTAGTGCCTCTTAGGTGATCAATTCGAACACTATGAGATCTCTACCTAAATAATACACATCTACAAGGCTATTCTCCACTAGGATAACCCCCGTCACAATTCCAACCATACGAATTCTGACTGCTTGGGTTTGTGAGAATGAATCATCTAAACAATGTTTATTTGTAACTGCCCATGCTTATTTTCAATCAGAGACTAATTTCATATATAATTTTCGACATCTAACAAGCACCCCTGCTAATATTACATTACACATTTCGAGTAAGAAAACGATTTTAAAAGGTTTATGAAGATTATGCCGAGATAATGACCTCAATGCCAAAGATAAGGAAAATGCCTCAAGGAAAAGTCACAATGAGTACAAGTTCTCATGCCTCAATGCTATATGTCTGGATTATGTGTCTTGGCAATTTGGAGTGGCTGCAAACAGGAACTTTAAAGTTCTTTCCTTCCTATTTCAAGGATCTAGACTGTGCATTCCCCCTGTAGTGAAGTTAGAAATTTCTTAGTTTGGGAATTGCATACAGGAGGACTTTCCGGACACTTTGGGAGGGAAAAAAACTGTAGCATTAGTTGAAGATAGGTTTTACTGGCCAGCCCAGAAGAAAGATGTAGCCAAAAGTTTATCCCAGTGTCGTACATGACAATTAGCAAAGGCTCAAAAACAAAACACTGGGTTATAAACTCCTTTTCCTGTTCCACATACACCTTGGAATGATGTTAGCATGGATTTTGTCCTTGGGTTGCCTAGAACAGCTAGGGGTCATGACTCTATCATAGTTGTATATAGATTCTCATAGATGGCACATTTCATTCCTAGTAACAAAACTGTAGATGCCTCCCATATAGCAAAATGGTTTTTCAGGGAAATAGTTAGGCTCCATGGGTTACCTACTTCCATAGTGTCAGATAGGGATGTCAAATTCCAAAAAGACTTTGGAAGCTTTTTGGAACTTCACTCAAGTTCTCTACAGCTTTCTATCCTCAAACTGATGGAAATTTTGTTGATTTGCCTCAATTAATATTCCATTGTTATTTAGCACATTCTAATTTTTTTGAAGACTAATTAGGCTGAAAATAAAGAATAACACTATTTAAGGAAATTTAGACCCAGTAACATTGAATAAGCTATCCCAACTTTTTATCAACAATTAGGTGATAACGCTTGGTGCAATGGCACTTAATTGACAAGCGTCAAAAAACAGGTTCTAGTCTCAAAGAAGACACTTTGTGCAAAATAATGTCAAATGTTTGGTTTAATTCCAGTTTACCCCTCCCATACACCACATAGACGAGAACAGCGCTGCGTGGAAAATTGATAGTTGAGAATGAAAACTAGGAATGCCCCCCCAACAGCCCCCCCCCGGGGGGCGAAAATACCCCACAAAAAAAAAAAATCCCCATCCCCGTTTAACAAAGTAAAATCCATCCTTGTCCAAAACTGTTTATCAAAAGAGCCCCATACCCCGTCTCCACACCTGTTTAAATTCCCCCACCCCATCTCCACCCGCCCCGTCCCATTTTACAGATTTTTTATTTATTTTTTTAAAAAAGAAGAAAATATATGAGTTTATGAAATGGTAAAAGGATAAGATATTAGGGTTTTAGTGTTTTAGTTTGTGAAAGGGTTTTTTAGCATCTTTAGTATTATATGGGGGTATTTAAGTAATTATACAATATAAACAGGGCAGGGGTGGGGGGTACCTATCCCTGTCCCCGCCCCGCATCTGCGCAGGTTTTTATCCCCTCACTCCATCCCTGATTAAACCACCCAAAACCATCCCAATAGGGATGGAGCGGGGTAATTTGCCATCCCTAATGAAAACCTACCTTCCTAGCATCATAATTCAGCATTGATAGAAATTATGAATATACATAACACGTTCGCCACATTTCATTTAAGGAAAAAAGCTTTATTTTCACATTTCGACCTTAGAACTACAATTAAGACCATTAGCCAATTTCCAGGCTTTCTATGACCAGATAAATTTGACATATTCAGCAATAAGCCAGACAGAAGAGGAGAGAATAGAAACATCATCCAGCAACCTAAATAAAATCTAGGGATTAACAGAGTCTCATTTGACTGACAAAAAGAATCATCTTGTCAATAAGAAGCTTGTCATTGAGCTAGGCGCAAATAATCAGCATATCTTATTTTTTTGGCAAAGGAAGGTTCAAGACATTGTGCATTCTTTCTGTTGGAAGTAATATAGATAAACATGGATTACGTCTACCCTAAAACTAAAGTAGAAACCACAATAGATAAGTCTTAGATAATAGCAAGTCTACACAATTTTAAAAGGTGCACTTGACACATACAAGAATGTAACCTTTACAAACAAGAAGCAGGGCACTTGGATTTAATATCAGTGGAATAAGGTACCTGAGATTGGAGGTGACCACCAAATATATGTTGAATAAGAGTTGTCTCTTGAGAGCTAGGATGAAGGGCCTTTTCTCCACCAAATTCATCAAGGCATACTGATTGCATTGTATCAATTGCGAACCTATGAATGAACGATATTTGTCAAGTGGAACTAGAACTTTTTGCATCAAAATGATTGCATTTTATCAAATTGAACTAGAGCTTGCCATAAATTACACTTAACAAATGAGAGTTTGTTGGAGATTGTCTCAAATTCCTATTCTAATTATGTTTCTATTTTAGAGTTGTATTCTGTTAGGAAATTCTTGTTAAGCAAGTCTTAGACTCCAAAGAATTGTAATCCTTGTCCAACAAAGAATTTTGTTTGTAACTCTACAAATAGGTGTACCTAGGTTTTGGGTTAAGACTTATGAGATTGAGACATATGTGGTCTCATGAGGGACTTAATGGGTAGAGGTAGTTTATGGGTTGGTAAAGTAGGAAAAACACCTGTGATACTAGTAGCGAGGAGATAGGCTCGTGGAGTGGTACATGGTAAAAAGGCATGTAAACGGTGCTGGTACTCTAGTGTTGTAATATCTCTACAAATGATAGTGGAATCTCTTCTCATCCGTGAATGTAAGCTGATTTTGGCTGAACCACGTTATATCTTGTGTTTGTGTGTGATTGCTTTGTTGGCTTTATTGGATCTTTGTGTTAGTGCATTTCCGCTGCCCCCATCAGAGTTTGTCTGAAATATTTCTCTAGATTGATTCCGTAGGTTCACTAGAAAGATTAAATTCAACTGCACTCTAAAGCAAGAAACAAGAACCTCATGAACTCATGGGCATCCTCCTGTTCCCCATAACCAAGATTACCACCAATATTAGGTAACCGTGATAGAATGTTGATTGGTGAAAAAGGATTCTGACTTTTGCTTGCTCTTTCAACATGGGTTTGAAATTCGCATAGGAAGCACCAATCATTCCGTCTGCCTGAAAAAGAAGAAACAACAAATAGAAAGTCAGGAATTGTTTGACCATCTAAAATAATAATAATAATAATAATAAATAAATAAATAAATAAAACATTAGGCCACTAATAGTTATGAAATATGTACTTACATTCTCTCCGATGGCCTTTCTCCAACAAGTAGGCAACAAGTGGCCGAGTATGTGCAAGACATTGTAGAACTACATTGGCAAAGCAGCTACAGAGAAGCAAGAATCAGATAAAACGTTACGATTGAGAACTCTGGTACATAACAATGTGTAATATGCTAATATGAAGCTCTCTAGCCAGTGAAAGCATTCAAATAATAATTTCATAACACAGCACTAGCATGGTAAACATGGACCTGTTTCCACAATTTAAAAGCCCACAAGGAGGAAAACCAGCCGTCTCCCAGTTAAAAAATTCCACAAAATCCTTGTAGGGGAAGAGAATCTGAAAATATGAACGCAAATTACTGGTTTAGTCAAATACTTTTCCAGAATATATAAAAAAATATATGAAAAAAAAAAAACATTTATTTACCTTTTTTAACTGTTTGAGAGTCTTATTGGTTCCACTGCCAGGAACTAGTGCAACAGCACAACCTCTACGTCTATGTTGCATAGATTCAGACTGCATTGAATTTACTTTGCCAAGTAATTGGAAGTCCTTGCATTTTGTCTTGTGCCCAGATCTCCAATGGGATACTTGACAAGCTTTTGAGCTGGCAAATGAAGGAGTAAACATTAAAATTCTAATGATACAAAAAATTTGACCTATCAAATATGCATAAAACCAATATAATAGATCAAACTCCAGGACAACAAAAAGTTGAAAGTAAACCAAAGCAGCAAAAAAGATAAAAGAACTGGTTAGTTACAAAAGGACTGGAAGTGGATAGTAGTAACAGAAAAAATAAAGAAACATAAAAATGAAAAGGAAAAAAGAAAAGAAAATAAGGAGCAAAAGCTCCCACACAGAAATAAACATGTATCTACTGGAGCAAGAAAACAAACAGCAACATAAACTGTAATTGCATCCATGAAAATTTCTACTCGGCTTGCATTATCAGTGGAAGAACAAAAGGTCCACATTTAAATAAAAACTCACTTCAATGCATCCAAATGATACTTCTAAATCAACTAAAAATAATATTTCAGAGACTATAAAAACAGATGTGATTGCGGACTAATTCAAAGCTTCTTCCTGGTCATTTATGTGATCCAATATTGAAGCAAAATATCATTTCAATATCAAGATCAAACTTATAACATCAGCAAAGCAAAGAGGCAAAGAATAACAAGGATGGTTTATCTGAAGCACTTAAATTGGATAGCTCATTCATTAAAAACCTCGTAAAGGTTCAGTATCTGAGGAGAAAAAACTATTTGGTATTGGATTGTCTCAATATTTTGAATCACAACCAGACAGCAATAATGATCTATAGCTAGACCATACTTTCTTAAAATAGACACAGTACATCCAAAGCTTGTCATTGCCTCTCCAAACACCAACCTTGATCCATGCTAATGGGCCCAACAGACAAATCTTTAGTTAATGAATTCTAGTAGAATAAAAACCTCTACACTTTTTCATCAGTAGTTTAGGGCCAATTTTGTTGCATTTAAGTTCTTTGCATTAATTACAACAAGGATTGAGCCAATTCTATCCAATTTATCCGCAATTTCTTCAAAAAAAAAAAAAAAAAAGAAACGGTAAGAGCAGTTTCCAACTAAAAAGGAGAGAGAGAATACTCTCACTTTTTTCACAGCATACCAGCAAGTGAAAAACACCATCAATACAGAAGTCTTATTTTCATTTCGTGATTATAATATATTGAGAGCCACTGATGGGATAGTAAGACAGCAATCACAAATCTGCAGAAATACAGAAGTCTTATTTTCATTTCATGATTATAATATATCAAGTCATTGATGGATAGTAAGACAGCAATCACAAATCTGCAGAAACCCTTCAACAGCAAAGTGTATACACATATGTACAAGAGCATGCAATTTGGAACTTTGGACAAGTTTCCACCACTCAAACATATTACATATGAACAAGGGTGTTGACCAAAGTCCAGCTATTTTATGAAAAAGAAAATGTTGTAGAATATAGTTTCCATGACAAGAAACAACAAAATATATTGAGGGGACTTATGCACGCTATCACTATGAAAAAAAATATATACAAATACTTCTTACATGAGATTCAGGTTCGGTTTATATACATATAGAGTATAATAATATCTTTTTTTATCAGAGGAATGCCCATTCCTTTATAGTAGAACTTATCCAGACACACACTAGGCCACGATGCCATGTATCAATTTCATTTGAAAAATACATTGTGGGACTGGTTCCAAGAGAGAGAATTGAACCGAAGACGACCGCCTTGTCAAGCATGGTCATTGACCAACTATAACACTTCCCACGTACATGCCTTTTTACCATGTACCACTCCACGAGTCTATCTCCTCCCAGTGACCCTTGGTGTTTTTCCTACCCTACCAACCCACAAACTACCTCTACCCATCAACTCTCTCACGAGGCTACATCTTTCTCAATCTCACAAGTCTCAACCCAAAACCTACTATTTATAGAGTTCCAACCCCAATTTCTTGTTGGACAAGAATTACAATTCCTTCGAACACAAGACTTGCCTTAAAAGAAATTCCCTAATAAAATACAACTCTAAAATAGAAACCTAATTAAACTAGGAATTTGAGACACAAGTCTCAACAGGACCTTAAACATGATAACTCACGAAAAGGAAAGAAATGGATAGCACAAGAAAACTGAACATGGGCTTAAAGGGACAAGCATCAGTAACTCCATCAATATTAAAGAGGCCAATCCAATGACATCTCCTAATACAATCAGCTTTCATGACAGAAATCACTAGTAAAATATCCCTATCATGCCTTGGACACTACCAAAACTTTGCCATCAATTTCAGAATCATCTTCATCTAAAGTCTTAAGCATTCTAGCAACATAGAGCATTTATATCATTGTAATGACCAGACCGTGAACATGTGAGGGTGGTGTAAACCGAGTACTCCGTATAAGAAACTGTCTGAAACTAATAGAAATCTCTATAATGAGGCCCGTAAAACTGTGAAGCTAATAAATTTCTCTATTTAAGGTACCTTTTAAGTCACTAGAGCATGTTAATGTATAAAGATTGAATCTTTGAAAGGCCTAATTGTCCCCAAAAGCTGTAAAGCCCATCCAAGGGGGATTAGGACTTGTTCTCCACTATAAACGAAGATGAGAAAACACATTAAAGCTTCTTGTACTGGGGTACTAGACTGACTACAAAGGCTAAACAAATTCGGAAAACGATGTTTGGTGTTGGCATAAGCATTATGTACCATTGACCGTAAACAAAGAGTCCTTCTTGTCTTCCTTTTAGCAAAATAGCATCATGAATTTTTTAGTAGAATGTGACACAATAGAATTCTGGGTTTCGACTCTGGATACCGAATAATAGTAAACATCAACCACTATACACTTACAATTGTTGGAACCAATATATCAGCCTTCTTTGATGCTTCAAAAATTACTTCTAGTTCCACTCATGAACCAATTTTATCCTGTTTTTGCTTCCAGAATTTTTCGACAAGTGTTTTTGCCTTTCATGGGTGACATAAAATCAATTCTTAACAAAATATAACCAATTTCCACACCTATTTTCATCTACTTCCTCCACTACCCAAAATTTATACATGACTAAATCATCTTAACATAAGTCCCTCAAGAACAACTAGAATTCGTTAATAAAACATAGCAACAAACATAACAACAAGGAAACCCAATAAAATGGAATAATCAATAACTAAAAACATTGCAATTATCTACAAAGAAAGCCGTATAAATTAATGAAACGGAGACAACCAATCAAAAGAAAAAGAAAAAGAAAAAGAAAAAACCAGAAAAGCCTATCAAGGACCAATATACATACACGATTGAATACGGAATTGATTAGAAAGCGAAAGCTTACCAGTACCGAACCAATTTACACCCAGAGCACTTCTTTGTTCCCAAATTGCCGCAAACCACGCAGGTGTCTCCGGTTCCAATAACGCCGGGCATATTCAGATCACTGTCGAGCGATGCTTGGTGGTCCGAAGACTCAAAATTGGCGTCGACGACGAAGTACTTCGACAACGTGTTCTTCACCAGGTGAAGCAATCCAAAGGCAATGACCAAAGCTGTGATGATGAATTGAAGAAACCAATTGAGATCCACAGGAAATCCAGAGACATGCATCGACGACTCCCCTTGGGTTCCAAATTGAAATTTGTGGGAATTTTCATCGATGAATTAAACTGAACCGCCAGAGAAACACCATATGCAATTGTATATGTGCGTATATATATATATAGACACAGGTATATCTATATATTTAGGACTCTATTTTGTCTCTACTTTCTCACTCTTTCTCTCTCACTAGTTAGGTGTTCTACATTCAACAAACAAGGAAACTTCATGCATAGCCCTTTCAAGTTTTCTCTCTTTTTCCTTTTCTTTCCGAATCGTTCTCAGAAAAGGAAAAGGAACCAAAAGAACTGTTTATGAAAAAAAAAATTTAATAATAATAATAATAATAAATTAATCATTGGTCAACTATGTACGTTTGGTTAATAAATTATAGTAATAAATTAAAATTAATTAAATTCGAATATGTGTTTTAGCAGAGAGTTGAGAAATGAGATTCAAACCATCTTAAATATATAATTTGATTTTGAGATTCCTACATTCTGAATTTAAAACAAAATTCAAATTGATTTTTGGTTTTGCAGAGTTCTAATTTCTAAACAACCAACATTCTACTTCTTTTTAAAATTAAAAATATAAATATAAATTAAATATAACAATTCACGTGGGTTAAAAAAGGTACTGTTTTTTATTGGGTAACAAACAAATCGGTTCTTTATTTTCAGCTGTACATAGAGGTAGTTGTTATAGTTGGTATACTTGTTTGCCCTCTTGATTTGTTAGCTTGAGTTATTATTATTATTATTATTATTATATATAAATTGCTCACATGAAGTTTGAATTAATCACTATTTTGATAAAAAGTTCTGAAAAAATAAAAGATAAAAAAATTGGAGTCAACCTTTTTGAGGTTCAGTAAATCATGGTCAACACATAATATTATTAATTATTAACCCTCCAATGTACAACCTTTAATGGTTAGGGATTGAATTGGGTTTGTGGGATGTGAACATGAGTCAACGAACTCTTCTTTGTTATTTCAAGGTGCATTTTGGGCCCCAAACTTCAGAATTTTGGGGTACTGGAGACGACTCAGTATAGTATGATAAAAAGAGATTGAATGAATTCATTAATGGAGGTAATATATATATATATGTATGTATCATTAATGAAACACAGAACTAGAGTTAGGATTCTTGTTTTATGGATTGAGTGGTGGGTTAATAAATTGAAGAGATAAAAATTATTATTAGCTCTCTCTTTCCGATGAAGCAAATAATATAAAAAATAAATTTTTATATATAATATAAATTATTGTTTGACTCTATTGGAAAGAGAGAGCTAATGATATATAAAAAATAAATTTTGATTAACTTCTAAATATTATGAATTTAAATACTTTCATTAATATAACATTGGAGTTTGTTTCACAACACATGGAACAAACATTCATAGTTATCATTATTAAATTTGAATTTTTTATAATAATTATATTATGTTATTATCGTTGAAAAAGTTACATTTTAGTATCCAAAACTTATTTAAAATCTGTTATGAAGTATATGACAAGTATATAATGTGAGCTACGCGTAGGAAAGTTGTTAATTGATTAATTGTGATTAACTCTCTAAATGACCTAGATGAAGTGATTAGGTCAACTTATCCAATTTTTTTGATTGATTAATTTATCTACAAATATGATCAATTAACCATCCATAAGCACAAAATAAATTCTGAAAAGTAAAACAAAGTTAGATAGAGATGACACCATAATTTTAGCGAGGAAACTAATTAAAAAATCTGGAGCAATTTCATTTAAGACGTATATATAAGCAACTTAAATTTATAAAAATTCTGTAGTTCCTTACCTTCCAAATTTCATATGTAGCAGCGACAAATTTTTATTTTTATTTTTTATATATGGATCTTAATTAAGAGTCAGGTGCTTGCCTCACCACTTCCTAATACTCCGGTGTGGAAAGAGTATTAATTAAGCTTGTTGAGGTTGGCCGATTAGCCAAAGAATTTTATGTAGAGTGCTTAGGAATTGCTTTTGGAGATTATACAATTTTGGATTATTGAACTATGGTTCGTCGTATTGGTCAGTTCGTAACTCTTTTTTCAAGGATTTGATATTGTTACACACCTTCATAAATCGGCCGGTTCAATCGATTTACACTGATATTCGTCCGAATCTGTTACAATGCAATTACGAACCTTAAACAGGTGACTAAAGAAGTGTCATGTACCACACTTAAGAATTGCAAATTAGAAAAAGAAAAATCCCTTTTCATTGTGGAGGACCTTTGTAAGCAAGGGTGGACCTCACCAATAGTTTATTTATTTATTATTATTATTATTTTTTACTATAGGTAATTTTAGCCCGGCCAAAAATAAAAAAATAAAATAAAATAAAATTATTACTAGTATTAGCCTACTCAAAAAAATATTAGTCGACCCCACTAACAAAACCTGAATCCACCCTTGTATGTAAGGCATTAATAACCTTATTGTATTAACCTTATATTTTTGGATTAAATGCTCTAACACCCCTTCAGGTTTGTCTTTATTGTTCACAGATTAAACTAGTGAAAAAAAAAAAGCCTAAACCTCCCCTCAGATTTGGTTAACTTTGCCCTGATACCCCTTTCGTTAATTGACAGTAAAAATATAAAAAATCAACTAATTTTAAAAATATAATGCCAAAACTACCCTTGACTAATGAAGGTGAGATAGACGTATGATGCCATAAATGAGTTTCATGTGATGAACCGAATGTAGATCTGATAACGAATCCAGAATACGGAAGTAAGAAATAAGATAACGGTCTCCCAAGGCACAACACACCTCTAAGACACTTTGATGACCTTTTATGAGGTCGTGGAATTCAATAAGAACTGGCACAAAAGAAAAAGATCAGAAAAATAACAATTAAGCCCCCAGGGGTAAAATAGTCATTTTACATGAAAATGACGTCCCTAGAATGTATATCATTCCTGAAACATATCCATGACTTCCCATGAAGTCACGGAATTTAAAAAAAAAGTAGCGAAAATAGAAAGCAAGAAAAACTGAGCAAAAATAGCCTCAAGGGCAAAATAGTCATTTCTAAAACTATGGATTCGGGTGCCACCAAGCACACCGCTGGAAAGATAACGAAAAACTAATCAAGATGGACTCAAGAATCGCATGATTCGGAGTCCAGACGAAGAAGAAACGGCATGACGAAGAAAAACGAGCACTTAAGGCTAAAAGGGTAAACTGGTAATTATTCAGAAAGATCTGGGTGCAACTGAGTATATCGTTGGAAAGATAGCGAAAAATTAGTCAAGTTCAAAAAAAATTTCACTCGATTTGGAGTCCGGACGAAAGAGAACGAGCAAAAACAAAAGTCGACGCCACGACGTCGAGACGAGCACCATGACATGTTAGGGGAAGAAAAGTTCCAGCCAGAACTAAAAGCCGAAACGAGGTCCGAAATGACTTTTTATGGAAAAACACGAAGAAGAAACCTCCCCCCCCCCTAAATCGAGTTTTTTACCCGACTACGTGGAGGAAAACGAAAAAAACTCACTGTAAAATACCTAAAATGTCTCTAGATCAGAAGAGGTCAAGAGGGTCAAAAAAACTGCTACAAGATCTATCCGTAACTGAGAGCAAAAACGGGTCATCAAACGAATTTTTCTGGAAAAACACGAAGAAGAAACCCTCCCCCCCAAAATCAAGTTTTCTACCTAATAGTGCGGACGGAAACAAAGAAAATGCATTGTAAAATGCCCAGAATAGCCCCAAGAAAAGCAGGTCAAGAAATTTAAAATCTTTCCGAGCTGCTGCCAAAGGAAAGAAAATGGGGCTTCGGGAGATTTTTAAATTGCCTAAATTGAAAATGCAATCTTAAAATATACTTACAAGACCCCCGGAAGTTTCGGATCGGTCGACACATTTTTCAAAAAAAAGTCGATGAATAGTACCAAGTACTAAAATCTCAAGTTTTAAAAACATATTTGTAAACTTAAGAATTAATGGCCCTTGGCTTCATGTCATACATACAAAATAAGCATCCAAAAAGTGTACTTAGGTACACATTACATATTTGGAATCAAGGATACAAATTTTGATATATAAAACTACAAAATGACATTTCATGCTAACATTTGCATGAAATGGGAATTTTAAAAGTTACAAGTCATCCAAGGAATGATGAGCATTACGAACTAAGTCTTCGTATCTGAAACAAATCCCCAGTAACTTCGGTGTGAGTAAAATAAAGCTACTCGTAGGAAATGAGCATGCATCGACCTAGTATTTTACAATTCTATCACCTTAAGGTGAAACATGTTAAAGGGGTTCATGCTACCTAACGTCTATGTCAAGTGAGACTCGGGAATCATCCTAAGCTACTCATGCAATCGAAATGAATTACGGCATACAAATACACATGCTTAAGTACACTAAACCGTATTAAAAACATGATACACGACATACAAGTATACATGTTAAAGTACCTTAAATTATGTTAAACAAGATAAGCAATATCTAATACACATACACAAGTATTCAATATATATAGAGTACTCGTAAATCAAGTATACAAACACAAGTATACTAAGCTAAACAAAATACACATAAGACAAGTATACACGGCATAAATATACTAAATGAAATTTAAACTCACGCAGCAAGTATACAAGTTCAAGTATACTAAATAAAATTCAAATATCCAAAGCAAGTATTAATTCTCAAGTTACAAGTAATCCATGATTAACAACTTGAATTTAAATGCGAAATCAAATAGTGGAAAGACTAGGACATGCGGTCGCTAGACCAAGCAAGTATTTTCGGGTAATTACGACCCACAAGGTACTACCTAGTGCGCACTTATGACTTAGAGGACACTTGTCTATGTACTAGAGCCAAACCCTAACCATCACATAAATTATATCCTCACAAGCTTTTCAAAATCAATAAATTCAAAACTTATACAAAATCAAATGCAAGTCACCATATTCCATGCACAAGTAAGGTTGAATCTATACAAACCATGTCTTAGAATTCAAGTCTATATAGCATATGACATGCCATGTCCTCAATATGCAATTTATACCCAAAGTAAGAATATTTTACAATAATTGAACCAAATTACCATCCTAAGCCACAAGTACTAAATAAGCTACAATTTAGTAACTAGCTTTCAATGTAAACAATTGTAATATTCTAACAAGCTATATACCTACACAAGATAGATTTAAACAAGTTATGCAAGACAATGATAACCTATATCATGCTAAGTCCAATTTCTTGATTTAAATATAGAAACAATTTCAAAGACATAGTTAAATCCA